ATCCTTTTGTCTCAATCTCCCAAACTGCTGGGATTACAGGCATGTGCCACTGCAATATTTTTCTTTAAATATTGGTTTATGATAGCATTGTGGGTATCATTTATATTTAAAATAATGAGCACTGAGCCAACCCATGTTCAAGTTAAGTTCAGATTTACTTTTGTAGGGAAAATTGTTGATTGTTTAAATCCTACATTAGATTAGAGTAAATGAAATTACTTTTAAGAGTGAAATCAACACTATTCATTTATTTCCATGGGAACTTCAAAACTCAGTCACTTGAATTCTTTTTCTGAAAACTGTAGTATAATAATTAATTTTTAAAAATTTTTTTTACATGTTGATGGACTTTATTTTATTCATTTATTTTGATGCGGTGCTGAGAATCGAACCCAGTGCCTCATACATGCTAAGCAAGTGCTCTACCACTGAGCCACCACCCAGGCCAATAATTAATTATTAAGAGGAGTTTACCAATCATTGTTAGAAAACGTTAACTACGTGTATTTTGTTGTATTGATTCAAAAATGAATAATAGGGGAATTAATCCTTTTACTTCCCTAACCTCCTCTTAATAGAAAATTTTTGAAGTCATGAAATACGTTTTTCTTTTATAGTCTTTGGAACCATTGCTGAAAACACTGAAAGATCTCAGTGGATCTGAAACTTGTATCATATGTTGCTATGAACAACGTACAATGGGGAAAAATCCAGAAATTGAGAAAAAATATTTTGAGGTAAGGACTACAAGATCTATCTTTGTAGTGAGTACCCTTCAGGGAGGCTATATGTGACTAATCTAGTATTTTATGGCAATTTTGGAGGTTTGGACAATCTGTTTGTATGAACCCAGCCAGTAGGGGACTCTTTAAAATCCACTATTCCACAAAGCTCACCCCCATTTTCTATTCTCATCCTTTATTTTTTATCTAATTAGTTGATACTGTATCTACAGAACCGTGTAAAATAATAATGGTGACACTGTCTTTTCTGAGAAAGTTCTTAATATTTCTTAATTGTTGGCTTTGGGGAACATATCAGTGATACATATGTTGCTTTTAGAGAATTCATGATAGAGGAGCTGGGGTTGTGGCTCAGTGGTAGAGTGCTCGCCTAGCATGCATGAGGCACTGGGTTCGATCCTCAGCACCATATAAATGTAAAATAAAGATATTGTGTGCACCTAAAACTTAAGAATAAATATTTTAAAAAAGAGAATTCATGATAGAAATGAGGAGGTGATAAATTTGTACTTCTCTGTTTTTCTCTACATTTTTGTGAAACCTCTGACCTACATACCTGTTTTTAGGGACTTAATTAATAGTCAGAAAGATTCACAGGAAGTTGCAAATGTAGTACATAGCTATTTTTGGTACAGGGTATTGAACTCAGGGGCACTCAACCACTGAGCCACATCCCCAGCCCTGTTATGTATTTTATTTAGAGATAGGGTCTCATTGAGTTGCTTAACCTGTCGCCATTGCTGAGGCTGGTTTTGAACTTGAGATCCTCCTGTTTTGGTCTCCTGAGCCGCTGGGATTACAGGCATGCCCCACTGCACCCAATACATAACATCTTACGTATCTTTTACTCTTTTTTTCCCCCAGTGGTGACCCCAGGCCCTTTTTATGGGCAAAAATTCATCCCATTACAAGTAAATCTTTTTGTACATCTATATAGCTCTGCAACTTTTGTCTGCTGACGGACTGCTTTGGTTTAATAAGAAAGCAAGAATATGACTGCCTCAGATAATATATGATATTTTTTTTTAATTTCTTCTCTTTTTTTTTGTAGTAATAGATGTAGATGTATTTTTATTTATTTTTTTATCAGTGCTAAGGATTTAACCCAGTTCCTCACACATGCTAGGCAAGTGTTCTTCCACTGAGCTACAGCCCCAGCCTTCATGTTTTTCCTGAATATGAAGAATGTTACTGAGCTTTTGGGACTCTTAATT